AACGACTGGAATGATCTGCAGCAGATGTTACAGGTGTTTGTGAAATGAGCTGGAAATTCAAGGTTTTTTTGAACGTACACAACGGTATTCTGTTAAAATTACTTCAGTAGACCGCGATATGATTTGTGATACTGGAAGCTACATACTAATGCCTGATGAAGAACGATTCCTCGGTGGGGCTCAGATAGATGAAACACCGACAGAGATGAGTAATATAACTGGCGTAACTAAAATTTGTCCTTTCCCATTATTTATGAGTTTGTCCGATAATAAAAATAGAACAATAAAATTAAAAATGCATAGAGGCCGATATGCTAGTTTTGTTGAATATATCGTGTACCTGTAGTCGATGACGTTACGGGAAAGCGGCTTCTTAGCTGTTTTGTAGATAAAACTGGGTGAGATACAATGAAAGTTTAGAATTCGCCGGGAGATGATCTTCATGTGAGCCTGTGGTACTGGATTTTGATGGTACATTGCCCAAAGGCTTTACGAGCTATTATATATGCTGGCACACAGCTAATGAAGTCCTTTCATCAAATTGTGCTACCCCAATGAATAGTACTTGATGAATCCTCTTTTTAGAAGTTCACCTTCTTCAAAAGCCTATTCTCATCTAATTAATCCACCTAATACTTTTGCAATAAAAGAACATAAATATCTTCCACGTAAATATCAAATTGACATCGCAAAAGATTGTTGAAAAAAAAAATATTGAATTGGACTCAATTAAACTTCTTTTCATTAAAATTATCAACGAAATGGGAATGGATAAATATAGCTTCACAACTGTTGAATAAACTTAATTCCGCTTGCCTTGGGAATCTGAAATAGCCGTTTTCAACGTTACTGTTAATATACTACGCAGAAGGATCGTTCGAGTTGTTTTGTTCAGAAAAACACTAAGAGGGTATGGCCCTCAGCGTCAACAAGCACCATCGCTGGAATGCGCCCACACATTCGACTTCCATTTAGACTTAGCGGATTAAATGCGTATATGGCCGGGTGCCAGAACTTCTCCCCGAATTCCCACGCAAGCGGCAAAGGTCACGCGGCGGCTACCCTATCCTTG